ACTGACAATTAGATAGCTATAAGGATAAGAGTAATGCTTAACGGATAAAATATGGTGAAAACCTAAGTACAATTGGAGCTAGAATCCATCTCTGATTTATTTGTCAGGAGAAGGAAACTAGAAAATCAAGCTTAAGTGATTTTTTTTTGGTACAATTTAAATTATCAGTAGAGTCACCTCATTCCATTAAGATGGTAACTGTTGGTAGCACAATGCACAGAAAGGTGGTAAATATTACGGCTAATGACCTATCTGCTCTCTAGAAAATTTTCAATCTTGACTGAGGTCAGGACACAATAAAAGGCTTGAAAAGGGGTGTTGTAGAGGAGTGTTTGGTCTCTTGTTACACATAAGCATGTTTATTACAGGAATATTTTCAGTTTGATTCTTGCTATTAACGTAAACCACAATTGCAGGACCATGCTGCTCAAAGAAGGAGTGGGGGAAGGGGCCAGCTATATAAATAATATACAACAAAAGACGTCTTTCTTTTCGATACCTGAATACATCAGGTTTGCTTTTAGGCCAAAGGTTGCAGGTTAAATGCTCTCAGCTATCCAAGAAGTGGCTTATTAGTTTTGTAAGAAAATATTTTCTTATATTTTGACTGAAAAATACCCACTTTAAGTGAACAAAACCATCCTTGTTAGTACAAAGCAGAGCCCCCCCCCCCAAAAAAAAAAACTTGTTTGAAAGGCCCAGTAAGGAAAAGCAAGACTAATTCAAGAGGAAAAGCTGCCTCCTCCACGGGAGCTTCTGAATCTGGGTTAATAGTCCACAGAGGCTGGCTGGAGTCTTCCGGTGCTCCAGGTTTTGCCTTTCTGAATGGATCATAGACATTCTCTACAGGGAGGGATAAATCCATTTTAGCATCTACATGTCTCTTTCTGGGCTAGAGTTAAAAAGTTGAAAAGTTACACACTAACAGAGGGTGAGTGAGGGGAAGAGGCAACCAAAAATTTGGGTTATTTTCTGAGGCAATTTTCCAAACACAACTTGCTTTTTGCTTTGGTTTTCGATTTGTATGCTTTAAAAAAAAAAAAAAAGCTCAGTTTCATCTGCGGCAGCATGGCTTGGGCTAGTGATATAATCAATGTCAACAAGTGATTACAGCTTGGAGAAGCATTGTGAAAACTCCTTATCAAGATGCTGGTGAGATGGCCTGGTCCGTAACATGCTTACAGCACCAGCCCAGAGACCTAAGTTCCTAGACCCAGCACGCACAGAAGTCAGGCATGTCAGTAACTCCAGCCCTGGGGAGGGTGCACAGAGACAGAGGGCCCTAAGGTCTTGCTGGCCAGCCAGTCTAGTCAAAATAGTGAGTTCCAGGTCAGTAAGAGGCCACGTCTCAGAAAGGTTGGAAACAATCAAGGGAGGTGGCAAATGTTACCGTCTGGCCTGCACATGCGCACACATGTATACACAACACACAAACACATGCATGCATACAAGAATTGCATTTTGACCTCCGGATTCTGTGTTGTCCAACACCTCGCTAAGCACTCCTCTCCTCATTTCCAAATGAGCCTAATCCGGCTATTATAGAATAATGACTGTAAATCGGTATAATTATTACAAAGAGTTAAACGCACACATACCAGTAGCTGTTTTCTACAAATTATTATCAAAACAAAGAAAAGGGGCTAATTGTGGTGACAATAAGACAGGGCTTTTTCCTCCCAGTGTTTGGCTAAGTTTATTTTAAGTTGTCATCTTCAACTAGTGATGATTTCACAGATTCCATAAACCCTTCCTAGTCTAAGTGCTTCTCAACTGAAAGTTGGCCTCTTCCTGCTAAGCAAAGGCAGGCTTCACAAGGGCCTGCTTCTATGGAAGGAAAAAAAAAAAAAAAGACACACCACAAAAAACAAGCCACCCTTTCAGAAATCTCATTGTAGACAGCACACTCATATTCCTTCAGGTTAGTTTTCAAATATTATGATAGCAAATTAAATGTTCACTCCACGTGCATCGAAACTTAGGTACCTGCTTCCCAAATA